CGACCGAGTAGTTCGCCTTGGGGAGCGCCGATTTTGTTCGTCAAGAAGAAGGATTGTTCACATCGGATGTGTATCGATTATCGGGAGTTGAACAAGCTGACGGTTAAGAACCGATACCCGTTACCTAGGATCGACGATCTGTTCGATCAGTTACAGGGGGCATCTTGGTTTTCCAAGATTGACTTGAGGTCGGGATATCATCAGATGAGGGTTCGCGAGGAGGATATCCAAAAGACTGCCTTCAGGACTCGTTATGGACATTATGAGTTTGTGGTGATGCCTTTTGGGCTCACCAATGCCCCGGCCGCATTCATGGATCTCATGAACCGGGTGTGCCGACCGATGCTGGATCAGTCGGTGATCGTATTCATCGATGATATTTTGGTGTATTCGAGGACTAGGGACCAGCATGAGGAACATTTGCGGGAGATTCTTCGGGTTTTGAGATCGGAGAGACTGTATGCCAAGTTCTCCAAGTGTGATTTCTGGTTACGAAGGTCCAGTTCCTCGGGCATCTTGTGAACCAGAAGGGGATATTGGTCGACCTGGCCAAGATTGAGGCGGTGTTGAGGTGGGAGGTGCCGAGATCGCCCACCGAGATCAGGAGTTTTCTGGGTTTGGCTGGATATTACCGTAGATTTATCAAGGATTTCTCCAAGATCGCTGTGCCACTTACTAGGATGACCCGGAAGGGTGTTACGTTTTCATGGGGACCAGAGCAGCAGTCTTCATTTGAGACGCTTTGTCAGAAATTGTGCGAGGCTCCAGTGCTTGCACTCCCGGAAGGGATGGAGGATTTTGTGGTATACTGTGATGCCTCTATATCGGGTTTGGGGGCGGTACTTATGTAGAGGGGTCATGTGATAGCGTACGCTTCGAGGCAGTTGAAGCCTCATGAGTCGAGATATCCCACGCACGACCTGGAATTGGGGGCGGTGGTGTTTGCCCTCAAGATCTGGCGACACTATTTGTACGGGGTTCGGTGTACGATTTACACGGACCATAAGAGCTTGAAATACTTGATGGATCAGCCAAATCTGAATATGCGACAGAGGAGGTGGTTGGATGTGGTGAAGGATTACGATTGTGAGATCCTGTACCACCCGGGCAAGGCTAATGTGGTAGCCGACGCATTGAGCCGTAGGGCGGATAGCGCCCCGATCTGAGATATTTGTATGAGGTTGACGGTTCTGACCCCGATTCTGGATATTATTCGAGGGGCTCAAATGGAGGCTGCGAAGCCGGAACACCAGAAGAAGGAACGGGTTGTAGGTCAGGTATCAAGATTTGTTACGGATGGTCGAGGGCTTATGACTTTTTAGGGACGGATTTGGGTGCCGTTTGTGGGCGGTGCGCGCACTATTTTGATGGAGGAAGCACATCGATCGAAATTCTTGATTCATCCTGGTGCTACGAAAATGTATTTGGAGCTCAAGAAGGAGTATTGGTGGCCATGTATGAAAAGGGATGTCGCTTGGTTCGTCGAGAGGTGCTTGACTTGTCGGCAGGTCAAGGCCGAACACCAGCGACCGCACGGTAAGCTGCAACCGCTAGAGATTCCCGAATGGAAGTGGGAACAAATCTCTATGGATTTCATCACCAAGTTAACGCGAACGGCGAGAGGAGTCGATGCGATTTGGGTGATCGTGGATCGGCTGACAAAGAGCGCTCATTTTCTAGCTATTAGCGAAAGCTCTTATGCGGAGAAGTTGGCTGAGTTATATGTGAGGGAAGTAGTATCTCGGCACGGGGTGCCGATCTCGATTATTTCGGACCGCGACGTGCATTTCACTTCCAGTTTCTGGAAGAAATTCCATGAAGAGTTGGGTACTAGGTTACATTTCAGTACGACATATCATCCTCAGACAGACGGTCAGAGTGAGCGGACAATTCAGACACTCGAGGACATGCTTCGGGCATGTGTGTTGGACTTCGGAGGGAGCTGGGACACCTATCTACCTTTAGCAGAGTTCTCGTATAATAACAGCCATCATTCGAGCATTGGTATGCTGCCCTTTGAGCTATTGTATGGGCGGAGGTGTCGCACCCCCATCTGTTGGGGTGAGGTGGGACAGCAGGTTATGGGTAGCACGGAAATCGTGCTGCAGACAACCGAGCAAATTCAGATGGTCAGGCAAAGGTTGTTGACCGCTCAGAGCCGACAGAAGAGTTATGCAGATAGGCGACGGTCCGAGCTTGAGTTCCAAGTTGGTGATCTCGTGCTCCTGATGGTCTCTCCTTGGAAAGGAGTGATTCAGTTCAGGAAGAGGGGCAAGTTGGGGTCCCGATATATTGGTCCTTTCCGTGTGATCGCAAGGGTGGGTCGGGTAGCCTACCGTTTAGACTTGCCAGCAGAGTTGGGACAGATTCATGATACTTTCCATGTGTCGCAACTGCGGAAATGTATAGCCGACGAATCAGCGGTGTCTCAAGAAAAAAAATTAGAAACACGGAGGGCGCTTTATCTTAAACGCGCGTCGTCTGTACATGTCGCTTTATAATTTTAATGAAACGCGCTTTTAGTTAATGAAGGGGGAAACGAAATCCCCAAAATTTTGAAAACCCGCCTTTTTTTTTTTCTATCTTCTATATATTTTTCATCCTTGCAATCCACTCTCCCCTCTCAGATACTCTCTCCTCTAGATCTCTCTTCATTCTCTACCTCCCATCTCTCTGTAAACCTCGAAGGTGAATCGTAATTGATCTGCGAGGTCTCCTTCTTTTTCTTTGTTTTCTCAGGTACAACATCATCCTAATCCATTAACCCCTTTCATTTTTCATTAAAAAAACCCTAATTAACTTCGCAAGTTGATGAACCAGATGTAGCACATTCCAAACTGGGGATTTAACCAAACCCGATAGAGCCATTGACGGAATCTTTGGATCCGGTCAACAAGGACTCTCTGTAATCGCGCAACTTTCATCACAAGGGATCGCTCCAGGTCTTTAATCTATCAATCTACAATGTCCACTGTCAAGTTACATCGAATCAAGGTCTAGGGTTTCAAATGCTTCAAGTTCTTCCCAAATAATTTCCCCTCTCAAGACGATTTTCCTCGATCGTATCTTTATGGCGATGATTCTCTCTCGATCGGATCGAAGACCGCTGTAACAGCCCGGATCCCTAGGTATCTTCATTTCATATATTTTTGACATTCTGTGAGGGGACTCGGCGAGTTGGTGGTCGAACTCGCCGAGTCGGGTCGCGGTTTTGAGCTGGGGTTCGCGTCCGGACTCGGCGAGTCCAAGGGATGGACTCGGCGAGTCCGCGCTGTTTAATGAAACCCTAATTTCCCGGTCCTAAGCCCTATTTAAAGGACCTTATGGCCCTCATTTGCGGCCACCTTGAACCCTAAGAGCCTCCATACGTCTGTAAGCCCTTGTGAGTGTGTTTGAAGGCCATTTGTTCATCATTTTGTGTGATATTGCAAGGAAAGGAGGGATAGGAGCAAGCTTGAAGTGTTGGGGAGCTTAGATCTGTTGCTATTTCATCAAGGGAGTCTTCTTGAGGTAATTTTCAGAGCCAAACTTCGTGTTTTGTGTTGATGTGCCAAATCTAGGGTTTCTTCTTGCATTTCTTGGCTTGAATAAGAAGTATGAGAGGTCCCATGGAGATATGGAACCTAGATCTGGACTTTAGCAGGTCCAGGAGACCCCTTATGACAAGCTTTATGTCCATTCTTTTGAGTTAGAAGCTAAACTTGCCATATTAGAGGTTGTTTCTTCAAAATAAGCCTTGTATGCATTGCATGGCAACCAAGACTGAGACTTTACGTGACAAATAAGCTTGGGAAGGCCAGATCTATGTATGTATGGAACGGATCTGACCGCAAAAGCCAGTTTTAGCTGGTGCATGGCATGGACTCGCCGAGTCTGAAGAACAGACTCGACGAGTCGCTTGAAGATTGTCCTTGAGACCATCCTGTGTGTAGTCCGGACCGAGTTGTGGGCGAGTTAGTGAGTCGCAGAGAGTTGGAAAGGTTTTGACAGGTGGACCGAGTCAGGTTGGGACTCGCCGAGTAGACCTTCGACTCGGCGAGTTGAGTTGCGGTGGCCCTGTGATTCAGGCTCGGGGGGGACTCGTCGAGTCAGGGGAGTGCTCGACGAGTCAAAGGGGAATAACCCTGATAGTTGATTAAAATGCGTAGATTCGCTGAGTCACTAGTGTGCACTCGCCGAGTCCGGTCCAAATTGATTAAAGACGTTTGACCAAGTCAACCTGTGCTGACTTGATAAGGATGGCCCACCTTTGTGGTACAAGTAATAATTATAGATTTATAATATCATAGGAGGATTTGCAGCTCGAGGGTTCGAGTCCGAGTGATTTCAGGATTAACGATTAGCAACCTAGCGAGGCATTCGAGGTGAGTCTTCTCACTATACTCTACCCAGAAGGGTTTTGATTGTGTGACCGAAAGGTCGAATATGATATGAAATATATGCCTTATGTGTGTTAAGTTATTTTCTATATGTGTCATGTATGATATGTTTGATTTGGGCCGGAAGGCAACATGTTATGGGCCGGAAGGCGTGGTCATATGGACTGTAAGGGTTGACGTGGGTAGGACCGGAAGGTTTACCCAGTCGGGATGGAAGTCCCCTGAGACACATGGACCGGAAGGTCAAGGCCTGGAAAGGCGTATGTGCGTATGTTGTATTTTGGGAACTCACTAAGCTTTATGCTTACAGTTGTTGCATTATGTGTTTCAGGTACTAGTGAGGACCGTGGGAAGGCGCCAGCGTGACCGTACACACACTCGGGGAAACTATTTTGTTATCTTTTGTTATGTAATCGGTTGTGACTACATTGATACCTTGGAATCTAAACTTATTACTCATGTTTTGATGGTTGTAAAAATGAAAATTTTTGGTTGGAAATTTTATGACGTTACAACTGCTCACTCTCTCCTTAGATCTCCATGTGAGTCTGATCCCCCCTCTCTGTAACAGCCTCGCTTCCTTCCAAAAATTGAAGAACATTCTCTCTCGATCGTATCTTTATGGCGAAATTTAGACACAATAATCTCAACATAAAATTCGTAACTGAACTCCTCTTCACCTCTACCCTACTCCATCTACAACGACTCCTTAAATTTACAAACCCTAGTCCAGTTGCGGTTCTAGTCAAAACAGGTACCTATCTATCTGCTTTCTGAATTACCCTAGATTGGAAATTTCTTGATACTTCGCTAGTTTTTTAAACAAACAAAAATCAGTTTTTCTCTCAATAATCCGTTGGCTTTTTCATTGGTGTTCCCCCTTACTGGTTTCGATAACCTCTATAATCTGTGAAGTTTGTGTTTACTTTCTTGCCCTCCCTCTCTCTAAGAAGAAAACGCAGCCTCGACGCCTTTAATCACCCAATGACATAGGTGAAACTCAAACTTCTCAGACCAAAAGAAATATTGTACCATTAACGGAAGAAGTGCAGGGGGGTTGCTTATTGGTGCTGTTGTGAACATGAGACCTGATTTATTTAAGGCTACTGTAGCTGGAGTACCATTTGTAGATGTTGTGACTACAATGCTTGGTCCAACTATTCCTCTTACAATTGCAGAATGGGAGGTGATTTATATATAATATTTTTTGTTTTGGAAACTCAAAGCCGGATGCTATGATAATATTAGTATGTTTCTTTCTAAATGTGAATGACTTGCTCTATTGCAGGAATGGGGTGATCCTCGGAAAGAAGAGTTCTACTTTTACATGAAATCATATTCACCAGTTGACAATGTGAGTGCCAATGTATATTGTTTCAGTTTAACTGACATAAATCCATCTCACAGATCATCAAATGAAAATGTTGAAGTTAATTACTGATGGGTGTCTATTTTGAATAGGTAAAAGCTTAGAATTATCCAGCCATAGTTGTTACTGTTGGAATAATGGTAGGTTGTCCTTTCCAGAAGATAACAACAGTGACATATTGTAGTGTTTACTTTTTTTTTTATTTGGTAATTTGTGCCAATATCATTTTCTTGATATATCTAATGTATTGTTTAACTGGAGGTATGTATGTATGACATGTTTTGGCAGATCCACATGTACTTTATTCAGAACCTGCTAACTTTGTTGCCAAGTTGAGAGAGATGAAAACAGATGAGAATGTAGTGTTGTTTAAATGTATTCCGCTTAAAATAACTCAACTCATCTGAAGGCAGTCTCTATTGTTGCTAATAAACATCAAAAGGGCTTAGGCCACTGGAATTGACTCAGTGAATCCCACTAGAACTTCTTACAAATAGTCGGTTGTTGGGACTCCTGACTATCTGGCTCCTGTGATACTTCTTGGCGCGGGACATGGTTGGAATTTACAATTATACCCCTTCCCTTTACCCTTTATCATTTATTCAAATGTCTTTCTGCTTATTGCTTATCTATATATTGAAAGTTGAAACACACTTAATTCCTTTGGTCTGGTTTGTTGTAGGTGCAACCGCTGACTGTTGGTCTGTTGGTGTTATTCTTTTTGAGCTACTTGTAGGGATACCACCGTTTAATGCAGAATCTCCACAGGTACTCACTCTCATAAAAGTATGACACTTTGTTGAGGATGGAGGGTAGATTGCTTTGCATTGCATAAAAAGGTAACAAATGTACTTTGGTCATCTTCTCATTTTCTGAATTTGGTTGGGTTAGGGTGCAGCAAGTCTTTGCCAACATTATGAACAGAGATATAACATGGACCAAGATTCCTGAGGAGATGAGCTATGAAGCATATGATCTGATTAATAAGTAAGTTTCTACTTTTTTATCAGTCAATCCAATCATCACATATTTATACATAATTATAATTATGTTTATGTTTATTTTAATTTTAGGTTGCTGACTGAAAATCCAGCTCAACGCCTTGGTTTCATAGGGGCTGTACAGGTAACATTTTCTCTCTCCATCATATATATATATATATATATATATATATATATATATATAAGGCAAAGAGGTAGGAAGTTAATTGATAAATGATGTGTGTGACTTATTAATGATAAACAAACAGGTAGAGATGCACCATTTCTTTAAGAATATCCACTGGGACACACTTGCAAGGCAGAAGGTAATTTCATATATTTTAAACTTTTATTCTAAGAAAAAAAAGTTGTTTTATAAGAGTTGAGTTGAGTTGAGTTGTGTGGGGGTATGTTTCAATCAGGCTACATTCATACCATCTGCTGAGACTCTGGACACGAGTTATTTCATGAGCTGGTCTATTTGGAATCCAGAAGATTAGCAGGTTGATGAAGGCAATGATTTTGATGATATGTCTGATACAAGCAACACATTTGGTGATAGTTCTTTCGGCAATATGCTAGAGGAAGAGGTATGATCTCATATCCATGCATCCTTTTCCACACACACACAGACACACACACATACCTGGTTTCTTTTGTAATCCTTGATCATTTGGCTGTGTGATTAAACAGGCTGGGTGATGAATGTGGTAACCTGGAAGAATTTGGTGCTTCAACTCTCAATGTGAATTACTCATTCAATAATTTCTCATTTAAGGTATGATGACACAACCTACACTTTTTCTATATATACACACATTATTGATCACTATATGAGTTAGATGTAACAGCCTTGAAGGTTGATATGGTCTTAAGTCTTGACTAATAAAAAGATTTGAGATTTTGCTTCACGTTCCTTGTTATGATTCAGGGAGGGAACAACCTTATTAGATAAGCAAAAGTTGATGAAGATTTTACATATAAACAAGAGAATTAAACTAGGAATTAGGAAAGTTAGCTGAAAATCAAATATTCTTCTTTCCAACAACAACAACCAATTCTATTGTAATAAGCTAAGGCCTCGTTTAGTGACATGACCATGCTTGGTGTTCTTATCATTTTCTGTAATTTGAAAGGTTGTTTGGTAATTAAGTATTCAAATCAAAATATTTGGCAAGGCTATTAAAGATGAAATCACAACGTGTTCTATAAACCATGAAAATTAGAGTAGTTACAACTACTCTATTGACCTACCTAAGATACAATCTTGATAGATAACTGAATACATATATTAATACTTGTTCAGGTGAATGCTCTGTTATCTTATTTAGAGATCGATAATCATGAGGGGTTGGTTAGGGAGCACATGCCTGGTAGATACGCAGAGCTGGAACAGTATTGGGGGGAGTCGCAAGTCATGGGGCCTGGGCCCCGTGCAGATGGTTGGGCTGATGAATTTTCCCAAGAACACGGTGGGGACCCAAATGCTTGGGCTTTATCCTTTGAGCAACAACATGGTACTGGGCATTGGGCTTTTAAATTCTAGCATGTGAGTGAGCTCTTTCACATCAATAATTAAAATAATAGTTAAATGTTGACTTACTATTAATTCTTATGTTATTGATTTCAGGAGCAAACGCAGATGATGTCTGTGGTCCGAATGGCAGGTGCAAACACGTTCATTATTATTTCTCTCTCTCTCTCTCTCTCTCTCTATATATATATATATATATATATATATATATATATATATATATATATATATATATATATATATATATTTCATTTGTCCTTGTCACAGGAAGTAGATCCATTTGAGAGATTAACTGATCAAGACATCCGCACTACAATCCACCATGCAACTAGTCCTAGATCCGCTTTATTCGTGCAAGAGGTTTAAATTTTTATTTATTTATTTATTTATATTAATAGTTTAACCCTTTATTACAATTATATAGGTTCCACTTCAAGTTTTGGTTCGAAGACAAATAGCTCGGTGGTTGGATCATTGTCTTCAATGTGCTAGACTTGTATACAATGAATTAGTAAAGGTATTATCTTTTTTTCTTTTTCTTTTTATTTTTTTATAATTCAGAATAAATAAATATTTGGGAAATATTTCAGATCACCCATAGTTGTCTAGTGCATGAACTACAATAGTTTCCTGTTCTTAAGATGCACATTAATGACATTGCTGGGAGTTTTTTGTTTGAAGGTCTTCAACCTTCACAAACAATGATTGGACACTTACTAGAAATGGAGGTATTAGACCAAACTACTTTGATTGCGATTTTTATACATACATGTTCCTGTTTATTAAACCAAAGTATTTATGGTGTCAGGTTACTTCAGTAAAAACTTGTAGTTGGTATTCACCATTGACTATTGATTGACTTACTTTTTTCTGTTTGATGCAGAGTCAACTGGTAGGGAAATTGTTAATTTTTCAAAGTAAAACAAAGGGTTGATTGAACGAGAGAAAAGAAAACACCAACACTCAATGGATATTAAGAATAAAAAAGATAAAGATATGAGGAAAAAAAGGTAAAACAAACTCGTATGTATGAATATGATTTGTATGATAATTAAATTTATAGTGTACGTATGTTTTGGTTTGCATGTAGTCTTTGTTTGGCAGCTTGGAAAAACTTTGTAGCACCTGATCGTCCATGCCACTCTTGGTAAAACAAATTTATAGTGTACTTCTTCCATTCATGTTAGTAGTTTCTCATTATGATGTGTTGTTTCTTGTGCATTTTTATTTTTAGGAGGTATTTTACTTTCTTTAATATTTAAAGTTACAGGACATGAGTATCGGCACATCATGGAACATTTAGGGTAGTTGTTTCTTTTCCTCTTGGTGATCCATCAATGAAGTGGCCAACATCATGTAATAACTTTTTAGGGGAAGATGTAGGTATATGTTTTTTTTAATGAATAATGTAATCATATGTATGAATATGAAATACAGTTTGTTATTTGTATGACAATAAATTTTATGCAATGGATTGTATTTTTTGTATATGGTATTTTATTTTCTGTTATGAAATTAATAAATGAATAAATATATTTTTTTAGAACATTTAAAATTATGATACACAAAAATGTGTGTCATCTTCATTTATGACATGGCCTTTCTTGACAGGGGCTTCCTTGATACGCATTGCGTGTCATAAACACGCGCGTCGTAAGGTTACGACACACAAACGTGTGTCGTCTTCATTTATGACAGGGCCTTCCTTGATACGCATTGCGTGTCATAACCGCGCGTCGTCTATAGATGACGCGCAAAAGCGCGCCATCTCTCTTTATGACAGGGCCTTCCTTGACGCGCATTTACGCGTCGTCTAAGCGTTTTACGACGCACAATGAGCGTCGTAAAAGGCCTTTTTTCTAGTAGTGTATGTAAAAGAGGAAGACATAAACATAATTCATATAGATTCAATAAACCATAAAAAAAGGAATTTCCCATAACAAATCAAAGGGGTATTTTTGTCATTAAACAATGTTATATCTTAAATTTATGGTCTGAAACTGAAAAAGAGGAGTATTTATGTTTGAAACTGAAAGAGAGATTAACAAAGGTAAAAGGTTGTAATTCGACATCATTTTCTTGAAAGAAAAGAAATCATGAAGGTTTTTGGAATTATTTCTATTATGAGGGTATTTATGTTTTTGCACAGACAAAAGAACTTTTAAAAATCTTTTTTTTTTTTGGTGGCAGATTCACAGGAAAGTATCTGTAGGTGAGAAGCTTAGTAGTCGAGATCAAAGAGCTTGGGAAAGGCATAAAGAAAGACGGTATTTCTCTTGCTGATCAAATTCGTGAAGTGAAGAACAAGAAAGCAGAGATTTTGATGCATCATGGACTACAGTACAAGTTTGAGATACGAAAGAATGAATGGAAATACTTTGTGCATTACCTTGTAAGTTTGATACAATGTATTTAGATCAGCTTGTTTTCATATCACCACATTAAGTAATTAACTACTTTCTTTTTGTTTTTAGGGTTGGAATAAAAAGCTAGTAAGGTTTTCCTTTTCCTTTTCCATGTCTATATTATATCTACTATGCATTTTAGTTTTAATAGTGTGTATAAACTATAAGGTTTGTCTTTTTAACCTTCATAAAGCTCCAATATCTTGATTACAGCTGTGATGAATGGGTTGGAGTTGATAGATTAATGAAGTATACAGAAGAAAACATTTTAAAGCAACGAGCACTTGACAAAAAACAAGGTGTTGACAAAATCTCAAAAGGAAGATCAACTCAAACTAAACCTAAAATATCAAATGGTAAGAATTTTGACTATTTTACCCCTTCTTAACAATCTATTTTTATCTGCTATGAATAACAATGAATTTTTTTTGTGTTTTTTGCATCTCTCAAATGTAAATGTGGAAAAAGAAGATGTGAAGAGTAGTGGTATATTACTATATTATTATCTTTATATTATTTGAACTCAAATAAATAATTTATCTTTACATATATTAAGAAATTTTAACTATCTATTTATGTGTTACTTACTCAGGGGAAAAAAAGGAAAAAGAGAAAGAGTGATTTAAGTATAAATGTATGTTTATGTTCAAATTCAAACATCTCATATTATATTATAAAATTTTTGTTCCCAAAATAACCTTATGCCTATGGTGTTAGAAAGAGAATGCATCTCTTGAAAAGCCTGTAAAGATTCAAATTTCATCAGCTCCAAAAAAACAACTTGTCGATGATTGGGAATCTGTTAATCATCAAGATAATGTATAAAACTATTAATTAATATTATCAAATTCTTTTTTTTTTTTTTTGCATTTTACAAATTGTTGATTTTTTTTCCAGCTTCTTAAACTCCCACGTTCTCCAAATGTTTATGACATTTTGGCAAAGTATCTTGAATACATGTCAAAGAAAGATGGGATGTAAGTCAACAAGTGTTTAATTTTAATTTTTTAATCTTATGAAAATATGATATTTCTAATTTCTAAAAATGAAAATATTAATATTAATTAATTTTGTTGAATTCAGGATGACACAGATGCACTTGGAGATATAACATATCAACCAATAGGTCTCCATTTCAACCAATAGGTAGGAGTTGGAACATATGAAGGTGTTATCATCATTATTATTGTTATCCTTTCAAAAACAATAGTTTTGAAATCTGCTTTCTTTTTATTATATACATTTTATCTACCTTTTACAAAAAGATATAACATATCAACCAATAAGTCTCCATTTCAACAAAGCGTTCCTTATATCTCATTGTTATATTGAATTGAATATATATATATATATATATATATATATATATATATATATATATATATATATATATATATATATATATATATATATATAACTCATGTCTCAGTCCATATGATATCGGGATGGAGGAATATATGATCCCTTATCTAATGGACAAGTCATTGACAAGGTCAGAGTTCAACAACAGCTTTAAGAGCTACGATTGCCAGTTAGGTTTTGAAGTCATACTCAATAATGGTTTTAGACTTATCCAAGTGGGAGATTGTTAGATTAACGTCTAAGTCCATAACTATATTTGGTATTTAATCAACCGGACCCGGCATGGTCCATTTGGGTTGCACTTCACCGACAATTTATATGGATAGTCTTTTGAGAATAGTATATTTATGATTACTATTAATATATTATAAGTCCTAATATATTAATATGGAATCATATTATTTAATTAGTATTGATCAAGAATTAATTAAGTGATCAAAGGAACTAATTAAATATGGACTCTTATATATATATGGAATGGGCCAAGTTCATTTAGGTTGGGCTAAGCTATCATGGATAATCCATGGAGCTTTTAACCCATGGATCCTGTGTAAATGAAAGGTCATGGGTATTAGGGTTTACATGGATGTAACCCTAATCCTCAATAATATATAAAGGTGTCCTTGGCTAACAAAATTGGCACTAGTGTATGGAAATAAGAGTGGACCGATTTTAATGTGCGTACATATTCTATCAAGTTCTTCCAAGGTGTTTTGGTGATTTGTGATTCCACTTGAGGCTTCCACATTATTGGGGCTAAGCTCTTAAAGCTTGAAGACATCGAGCTACATCAAAAGGTATGTCATCTAACTAGAACTTTGTAGTATAGGTGCTTCATAATATGTTAGTTAGGATGAAACCTTGGTATATTTAATATTTGCATGTATAATAGAGAAAATGTTGGGTATTTGGTGTTGCATCTTGGGCTCGTCTCTTAGCCCCATTTTGTATCCGGTATGGGCCTGTCCATCCGTGACTTATTTGTTAGGGTTTGTGTATTAATAGATACTTGCATGCGTCTTTTCCATAACTGATAGATCGTTTTTACGTGTGATTTAGAAGATCTCTTTTGTAACCCTAAAATCCTCTACAGCGGAAGTTCTTAATCGAGCTCTGCTGAGGATTGAAAGTTCTAATCATTCGACACATTTAGATCCATACTTGTGTATTGTTTCATTGTTTTCGTTCATTGTTTACCTGTTACATAGATCTAATCGATCAAAGAGTTTATAAATCTCATCAATTGGTATCAGAGCGGGAGGCTGTGTAATTCATACACATATCTTCTGTGAAAGAAGTTATTAGGGTTTATTCCGCATTAACTGATATTTATTGAGCCGTCACTCCATAATTGATGTATCTCATTACTTATTCGTTTTGCCCTAATATTATATATTACAAGTCTGATCTTTCAAACAGGTTAAACGATCAAGCATGGACGATTCTCAATCTAATCCTATCAACATCTCAAACAGTATTGGATCAACAACAAAGATTCCTATTCTTTACGCTCAAGATTACGAAGTTTGGGCGCATCACTTTGAAGACTACGTCATCGGATCTAAAGACAATGGGTATCTTGTATGGGAAGCTATTGTATCAGGACCATTCGCTCACTCAGGAACATCCAGAATTATTAAAACTCAGAAAGAGTATAATGATTTGCTAAAAGATGTTAAAGATGTGGCACAAGACGAAAAGGAAAAGTTTCAGTGCAACATTAAAGCTTTGAGACTGATTCGATTCGCTCTTCAATCTGATACATTTAGATTGGTAAGTTCCTGCAGTACCGCTAAAGAAATCTAGGATAGGCTGCGAGAGCTATATTCCACAGATGAAGATTTGGAGCATTCTATTCAGACCTTGCTCTTGTCTGAGTCTGGTGAATTTAAGCAGAATTCTGATGAAACTGTTACTCAGATGTTCAATCGCTTCAATCATCTTCTTAGCAAGATGATCAAACACGATATAGAAAGGAAGCTGATTGAACAGAAAGTCACCTTTCTGAATGGCTTAAGATCTGAATGGAGATCTATTGTGTCTACGGTCAAAGCTCACGAGCAGTTCAAGTCTTATTCGCTGGCAAAGCTGGTGGGAATTTTGAAATCCCAAGAAAAGATTGTCATGCAAGAGAAGAATGTAGTTTCAAGTTTGGGATCCTTGGCCCTCCTATCTAAAGAAAAAATGTGGTAGAAGATGAAGATCTGGACCTAGAAGACTATGATCTTACCTCTGAAGATTATGCAATGATGGTGTCTAATCCAAATATCAAGAAGAGATTCCCTACTAATAAGAACCGAAACTGACAGGGAAGCTACAGTTCTGAAAAGGTAAGGGAAGAGCTAAAGACAGAGGAACCAAAGAAAGAGGTGAAAGTTGAAGGAGATTCAGGTGTGAGTTGCTACTACTGTGGAGGAAAGAACCATTATGCCAAAGACTGCGTTCTAAAGAAAATAATAGAGAAGGATGAGGAAAAAGATGAAGAGTCCTTGTTAATGAAAAGGCTGGAAGAGATCAAGAGAAAGAAAGCTACTGCTAACCCTTCAATGAATGCTTTAATTGTGCAGGGTTCGGCAGCAGATGATGAGTTCGGTGGCGTGCAGGTCTGGTCATCCGACTCGGAAGATGATGAAGTTAGAAAACCATCTCATGGAGAGGCATACGTTGCAATAGGTGAAGGAAGCAGTGGGAAGTGTTTGATGGTGAAAAAAATGTATCTCAAATGAGGGGATACAATACGGATGGTGGGAATGAAGACTCTAAGGAGCGAGAGGATCTATGCTTCACAGCAAAACCTCTCAGCGTGCAGATCAATGAGCTAGATGAATTGATCAAGAAGGTACAATCTGTTTTTGTTTCATTTAAAGTCCCACAAAATTCGTATGAAAAAGAATTAAAAAGCTTAAATTCAAGAATCTTAAATCTAGATAGTAGCTTAACTCAAACATTCGATCACCAATTCTAACCTAACTGACCAAATAAGCAGGGTGTCTTCCAAGAGCGAAGAACGGAGGATGTAGATAGAGCTGAAGGAGTCGGAGCTGATTAAATCCAAAGATGAAAACATTTATTTGCAAAGAGACAATTTAAAACTTTTGAAACAGAGAAATGTTTTTTGTTTAATTGCTAAACGTCTTTATGCTAACATCACTCAACTTCATTTGAACTGTGAAATAGGGCAGAAAATTCATCGCATGGTTTTGCCCTTCCTTGAGTTTAAGGAAGATGAATTCGATGCTGAAGCATATAATTGCGAAAGTGTTGTATCGTCTGATGATGTGAATCCCACTTACATGTATGGCCTGGACAAAATAGAATCTTTTATAAAGTCCAAGGACCATAAGGACATGCTGAAAAATCTTTTGGATGAAAACGATAGACTGAAACTAAGGACCGAAACCATACAAAAATTTGACTCATTGAATGCCAATTTAAGTTCGGAAAATAAAATTGATGTTGAAAATGCATCCGAACTTAATGAGGATGATGATATGAGTGTAATTTCTGTAGAAGATGAAGTCGATTGTTCCGAGTTTGTAAAAAGCGAACACGAAAACCACAAAAATCTTATTTCCGAAAATTCTGTGGAGTTCGCTCGTCTGTCACAAAATAAGTCCCCGATTCTTAAGGAAAAGGCTGTTGTGTACCAGAAGGTGAGAACAACACCAAATTAGTTATATAAAGTCAAAGGAGTAATCGAACATCAAACAGCCGAACTCACTACCATTGTAAACGAAGATAACGCAGATGGCTGCGATGAGTTCTTCTGGTCTGCTCCTATCGATAATGCCGATGAAACAGTTGGTTTATCAGAGCGAACATCCTGGAAAACAAAAGGAAGATATATACCAGAGCCGCTGAACAAGCCTGATAACTTTGACGTGCCAAGTACCAGTGGCACTAAAGAAATTCCATTAGAAGAAGTCACCTCCACAACGAAACCTCATCTAACAAGCGAACCTGTTGTTCAAAAGCCAAAACAAAAGGCGAATATTCACAGGCAACCCAAACAGGTGAAAAACCAAAAGCAACAGAGGAATCTGAGATACAAGAAGAATCTCTCAGAGCGAAAACAGTTCTGGCAATCTCAAAATGCTCGTTTTTCTGATCATGACAGGAAGTCAGAGAAAAGGGAAGTCAGACCGCAAGAAGGCATTAACAACCGAAAGCATAGGTTCGCTCAGAGCACACAAGCTACCGAAAGCATAGGTTCGGTTCAGAGCACACAAGCTACCGAAAGCATAGGTTCAGAGCACACAAGCTACCGAAAGCATAGGTTCGGTTCCGAGAGCACAGGTTACCAAGGTTCAAGGTTCGGTCTCACCATGACCACCAACAAAAGGGTCACCTAGAATCTCGAGTCAAGAAAACTTCTCAATCTAAATTCTCTCATTCTAATTCTTCTCAACCCCATTCTAAATCCAATTCTGTTCAAACTCAAAATCCAAAATCTTCAACAGATTTGAAAGGAAAATCGAAGGTTTCCTCGGTCAAGAGTGATCAAAAGCATTCCAAAGTCCAAACACCTGAACCTGAATTCAAACCAACTGTAACAAATCCCAATAAAATTAAA